ATGCCACAATTGCGATAATTTTTCTATTTGTTAGCATTGCGTTTTGGCCCCGAAAGAAATTGGCCATGAGCAGACATACCTTTATGGCTTCGCCGAGCGGGAGAGCATTAATTTTTTTATGTGCTCATTGTGGGGCCAAGTTTAAGTCCAAGTCCAAGTCCAAATGCAAGTCGGAGACCAGGTCCAAAGCGCAGACCCAGTCAGAGTCGAACTCTTACCGGGTTGTTTATTTAGCCCAGCCATGCAAAGGAGGACGGCGGGAGTGGAAGGAGAAGCCAGTCTCCTCCACTTGATAATTGCAATGAAATTGCATTCTACTTCCATTTAGCCAAAGGCGCTAATTCGTTTATTATGAGCTCCGAAGGAGACGCAGGAGGCGGACGAAGAGGGCGGCCGAGATCCACTCCGCAGATGGCATAGAAAATTTCCAAGAAAAATGCATAATTTTCCACTCTATGCATTGGGTGTGGCATAGATAATAAAAATAGAAATAACAATGGCAGGAACAAGTTTTGTGGCCGATTTTGTTTGTTTAATGAGTTCGGCTGTGGGTGAGTACCCACCTGAAGGAAATTGAAAGACTCGAGGACTCCCGCCCGTTTATGGCAAAACATTCCATTTAATAAACCACTGACTTTGCGGTGTAATTAGTCAACTCGCAAATTGCAACTAATGTGCATGTGGAAAATAAAAGGAGATGGTGAAAAGGACTTTTCAGAACTTTGTTGGTGTCATCGTTAGTCTTCCTTGTTGGTGCTTTATTATTGGCACTGCCAATTAAGTGAAATTTATGTGCTTCAATAAATTATGAGTGCCGCAGCTGACATATGCGACACAGTTGAACAAAAAAAAATGGGCGGGGCAAACGCCCCCCGAGCAGCGCAAGCCAAAAACATTGACGCAAAACTTTCGGCCAGAAAGGACAACGGAAATGTGGTTCTGTTGGCGAGCGCGACACATGTCGCTAAGGTAAAATAGTTATTAGTAAAAATATTCAGCACTTTATTTGCATACCCTGCACCCCGCGAGTGCACACGTTGCGGGGTATATTACACATACGCCGGGTTGTCCGCCGAACAAGCTCGACGTCTGAGGGTGACTGTTGAAACAATTGACGTGCCGGGAGGGCGCCGAAAGCCGGTTGATACCCGACCCGAACAGTAGTTGACTGCAATAATTATTCAAGCGCCAAGAACAACAGGCAGCAGCTTCGCAGGACAGGTGCAGGAGCAACATCGACAGAAGCGACATCCACAGGAGCAACATCCACAGGAGCCACATCGACAGCAGTTGCTGGATAGATGGCTATTATGCGCCCAACTTAACCTGTTTTAGTAATTAATTTGGGTATTGTATGTTTTAATTAGTTTAGAAGGCAGCGGCAAACAGGATACTGATGACAGCAAATTGGGGGAATATTTTGGGTGATTGGGTGAAGTTATTGACCTTTAAACTGCGGAGTTAAACACATCCGGTTCACTTTCTGCTAACTCTCTTATTCGTAAGGTAAATGTTTTTAAACTAATGTTCATCATATATCATATATTAGAGGTGTATTTACCTGGTATTCTAAACATATGTTTTGTAAACATCCTGATTGCTACGGATAGTGCAGAGTTGCATTTCATGGCGTTGCCACTCATCACTTTAGGCCTCTGATTACACACCCCCAAGACAATCTGAGTTATTCCAGCTAATTACTGGCTCCTGCCGGACGAGTCTCGCCCCGACTTCTGCCTTCGGGGGCGGCCAAAACATATTTCATAGTCCGGCTAAATACATTTTTAATTATGATTTTGCGTTAATAATTATGACCTAAGCTAACGGCGGCTACAAAACGAGTTGCAAGTGGATGTCGTGCCGATGTTGCCGCTGCAGCTCGTAATGGCCTACGATACCCAGCGGAGTCGTCGAATGGCTTAAATTAATAATTACGCGAAAAGGCAAAAGGCAAAGGCGCAGGCCACGGGCTGTGGCAGTGGCAGTGGCAGTGGCGACTTGCAGGCGTCCTCGCAGTTTGCATGCAAGTGAAAATAATTAATGCACTTAATGTGTAATTATTTCAATTAAACGATACCCTCCGCACAGCGAGCGAAAGGCACCATGGTCCGATCCCGATCCTGTTTCCGCCTAATTGGGTGGGGCTGGGCGGCATTAAGGTCGGCCTAATTGGCATTTCGCTGCTCGATCACTGATAGCCTCCAAATGAGCAGAAGTATCAATCTGCGGATGGAAACTCGTTCTCGACGCGACTCAACTTAATTATGCTAATGTCGTGCGAGCGGCTGCGCAGTAAATTTCTGCGAATTTATATTGACGGCCGATTGGCTTATGGTCTAATATAGCCAAGCACTTAACCCAGTCGCTAATTGTCGCCGGGTGTTAACAAACTGATTACCAGCGTTTCCCAATCATAAGTTGCTGTACGCTTTGCATGACTTATGCTCTCCACCTGCGAAATTGGCAGTATAATTTAGCGCTTGCCATGTTTGTGGCCAATGCTACGTGTATTTCCCCTTCCTTTGGCTTTCTTAATTCGGTTTATATTTTTTATATTTTTGCCTGCAGTCGCCTGCAATTATACTGCGATTAGAAAGTTTTCGTCCGCTCGCCGGCTCATTGATATACGAATGCCGTCTAATATTTCTGCATGTGCAAATTCGGACGGAGTTGGCAAGCGGGCTAATGGCATATTTATTTATTATGGCCATTTGTGCGAATTACGCTCGCGTGCTCCTTCGCTGCAACTTCCTCTCCAGCTGCCTCTCATTTTGTTCGTCGCAGCTCTGGGGATTACTAGGCGCTCAGAAGGCTCTTGTCGGCTTCTCTCAGCTTTCTCCTCGAGAACTGGGAACCCCACGCACTCTTGAGATGGTAAAACTCAGCCGAGAGCGGCTGGCTTTTGGGCATTCCAGAGAAAATACTTTTGGGTGTCGGCGAGAAAGAGAAACTTGGAGTAATGCCTACGAGGAAATTAAAGTGCCACAGCTAGAAATGAGACAGAAAAAACTTTTTTTCTGCTTGAATTTATCGGGAATATTTAGAACACCTTTCCACCTATATTACAGTTCAAGGTTAATGTTTAAAAAGCATTTGCTAAAACAATTTTTAAAATATTTACACATAACCATAAGCCTCTGTATGATTAAATTCCTTTATTGAAAGTTAAAAAGGTATTTTTTTTAATCTCACGTTCAGTATAATAAACTTATTACAAATACTTCTCAACCGCCCAGCAAAATAGATTTTCTTGAATTTCTATAAAACGCTTAAGGCAGATAAATTATCGCAAATCATAATAATATAATTAGTTACAACTACTCACACACAGACAGTAGTGGTTTCCCTACTCCTTTGCTTCCTTCAGTTGGCCAGTGTACACAATTTGATTATGCCATGTCCAGCAGCTATTTTAGATTTGATTTTTCTGCACGTTTTTCAGTTTTCCCAGCTTGATGTTTTTGTTCGCAGCCGCACGAACCCCCCTCCCGCCCGTTGAGTATTTTTCATATTTTAATTTAAATTAGAGGGCAACACCCACTAAGCCACTCAGCGGATGACGATGATGGCGGCTGCAGACAGTGGAAAGCTGTTCGTAACTCAGCCAGACACTCGCTTCGAGCTTAACGCGCTGATGTATGCTAATGAGCCGGCATTGTCGCCGGATCCGTCTCCTTTCCCCATTCCCCATTCCCCCTTTCCCTTTCCCTTTCCCCTTTCCCCGATTCCCATCCCTTTCCTTCTCTAACTCGATTGCTGGAGGAGGAGCTGCAGCCGGAGCGCTTCCATAAATATGCATAATGCAATTAACAGCCAAATGTAATTGCGAGCCAGAAAAAGGAACAGGAAAAAAGGAGTAAAAGGAGAGACTGGCATTAGCAGCTGACAAACCACCCGCATGGCAGTCACTGTCCCGTCACATCACTTCACTTCACATCACATCACTTCACATCACTTCGCATCGCATCGGTCGGCGATACATGACAGTGGCTCCGCTTCTTTCGCTTTGCATATGCCCGACTTTCCCGGAGCGGCCAACCTGTTCCCTCGCACATTTAATTAGGCTATTAAACAATTGCAGAACGCATGTTGGCTAAGCCTGTCTCCAACCAGTTTGCAGTGCGGCCTGTCCTCGCAGTTCCGCCTCGATCCGATCCGAACCGATCCAAGCCGAATCGAGTCGAATCGAATAGCTTCGAATAGCTTCGAATCTGCCCGCGAATCTGTGCCAAATTTCGCATAAGCGCTGCCAACAACTTAAGGCCGAAACGAAAAACCGACAAAACTAAATAACCGTTGCGTGCCTAGGCCCAGTCAGCGTCTTTGGCTTTTAGCTTTTGGCTTTGCCTCTGCCATTGCACGGGAAAAAATTTGGAATTTTCCTAACCTGGCTGCAAATGGTCTTTGAATCTATTCATTCACAACTCAATTAGGGCATGAATTAGATCTCATTCTAACTGGGTCATAGTATGAAATAAGAATTTAAAGTAAGTCCTTCTTAAAAATAGAATTCATTATATTTTGCTCCATTGCTTGATTTGCATTGACTTTAGTCTTGATTTTATTAAGATTTAAATATGTTGGCTTACCAGATTAGACATCATTTTGATTGGCTTTTATTTTTGGACTGAAATGTAAACATATTATTTTCGCTACTTTTATTTGGAATTTAATTAATTAAGTTATTAACTAGACTTTTTTAAGTGCATCCTTGCCTTTTCCGCCATCTGTCTACGGGCCTGGCCAGCTCGGCTGGCTTTTCTTGACTTGGCCTGGCTGATTGGGCGCGCGTTGTTTTGCATTTCCAGGCCAGAAACGGCGGCTGGGGCTGCGTAATAAAATGCATTTTAATTTGGCTAAATGTTCAATTAAATTTAAACATGCGCAGTCCGCTGTTCGCAATTTTGTGTTGCCTGTCGCCGCTGCGTTGAAGTTGAGTTGCAGGCGAAGTGAATGTGTGCGACAGGACCCTCTTCCGAATTTCACCAATTCTTTCTTATAGCAGGCCTGGCAAGCCAAATAAATTAAAAAACTTATAAAACTACAAAGTTCCATCTTTCACCAAAAAAAGTCTAAATTCCGTTTTGAATAGCAGAAGTTTCGGCAAATGTTTTGGTCAACCCTTGTTAAGGGCTTCTCCTTCCGGCAGAGCGGCTCTTCAAGTTCGGGAAAGCCGCCAAAGCCGCCCGGTCCTCCGGATCCTCCAAAGCCACCCAAACCCCCACCGCCTCCCTCCGGAAAAAAGGAGTGCAAGGTACGGACGCACTGCATTCCGGCTGCCTTTTGCAAAGAAGAAGATAGGTTCAAATCCATGTGGGATCCCCCGAAGAACCTTCCGCCGCCCTATCCCTTCGTGGTTACCCGATCCAACGAGCTTTGCTGCGGACCCAACTGCACCAAGCCGTTGCCCTCGTTCGACGAGCTGTACTACAGGCCCTCCTGCAAGGATGGTCCCTTCCAGCGCCACTGGGTGGAGTGCCCCAAGTTCATGATCCGGCAGAAGAAGATCTGCGCCTACGACAAGCTGGAGGCCCTCGATCCCGCCCGTCGAGTGGCCAAGAGGCGCGACAGGGCCACTTTAGGTCCGGCCGCAGGACCCTGTCCCATTTTCGCTCCTTTGGCGCGCTGCGTCCCAGGCCGTCGTCCGCCGAGATGCCATGCGGCCAAGACACCAAGCTGCTGCCGCAAACTGTGTGCCCCCATGCCCTGCTGGTCGGAGTGCAAACAGCCTCCGTTGGCCAAGAGACCCTTCCGACCCCGCGAATGCGAGTGCACCACTCCCCTCAGCCTCTGCGATGCGGAACGGGGCCGCCAGTGGGTCAAGATCCACGGCGAGAACCACGTCTGCCCCAGTGCCATCAAGAGGGCCAAGAAGGCCAGAAAGGAAGCGCTCAAGAAACTGAAAATGAGCAAGTTAAAGGCAAAGATAGAGAAGCTAAAGGAAGATGTGGACAAGGAAAAATAATAAATTTTAACACTTTTTTTGTTGGCTTGTTACAAAATAAAGACAGGGCAGAGAAACATTCACCAGTTCCATATACCTAAGGATAAGAAAATAGACTTCCTTTCCCGATAAATCAATTTATAAACGTGTGTTATTAATTTTGTAACTTTATTAAAGTGTTTCGTTATCACTTGGTGTCGGCCTCCAAAATGGTGGCTTTATACGTGCTTTTCCCGGACTCCAGATCGTCGAGAGCTTGCTGCAGAGCCAAACGCATCAGTTGACGGGACTCGGACTTCGTGAGCTTGGTACAAACCCTGTACCCTGTGTTGTCCAATAAGCCAACGAAGTCGGAGGCTTTCTGCGTCGGGGATTGTTCTTCACTTGACTCGGAAGACACGCTACTGGATGGTTCATCCACTGGCACTTCGATGGTCTTGAAGGGTCTGTAGGTGTGGATGGGCTCCTCGGGCTGAATCTCTTGCCTGTTTTCTTTTTCGGGAGTGATCTCATTAGTTTTTGAGGGACTGGATTCATGGCTGTCGTCTGCACATACAATCTGTTGAGTTTCTGCGGTTTCCGGTGCCAGCTCTGAAATTACGGGCTCCGATTCCTCGATGTCCTGAGAATCAGTTGAAGCAAAGGAGCTCTCTTTCAGCTCGAATTCTTCTTGCTCGGGCATTGAATTGGTTATGTCAGAGCTCCCAAAACTCTCAACTTCCTCCAAACCTTCTTGATCGGATACAGAAGTATTGACCTCGGATTCAACAGACTGATTTGATTCCTCCTCCTGTTCCAGTTTCTTTTCCAAAACGGATTGGACAAAAGCCCAGGAAGGCATTTCAGGACCTGAGCTGAACCTACCCATGGCAGACTCAAGTTGTTCACATTCCTCTGTTTCTTGTGCCAGCTCTGCGGTTATTGGCTCCGATCCCTCGATTTCCTGCGAATCAGTGGATACAACAGAGTCCTCTACATCCTCAATTTTTTCTTGCTCAACCATTGAACTAGTTATGTCAGAGCTCCCAAAACTCTCAATATCCTCCAAACCTTCCTGAATCTGGGATTCAACAGAAGCATTTGATTCCTCTTGTTCCAGTTTCTTTTCCAAACAGCATTGGACAAAAGCCCAGGAAGGCATTTCAGGACCTGAAATGAATCTACCCTTGGCACTCTCAACTTGTCCAGATTCCCCTGTTTCTTGTGCCAGCTCCGCGGTTATTGGCTCCGATTTCTCGATGTTCTGAGAGTTGGTAGTTACAAAGGAGCTCTCTACATTCTCAACTTTTCCTTGCTCAAACATTGAGCTCCCAAAACTCTCAGATTCCTCCAAACCTTCCTGATCAGACATGGAAGCGGTTACCTGGGATGCAACAGACTGAATTGATTCCTCCTCCTGATCCAGACCCTTTTCCAAACAGGACTGATCAAATGCAGAAGAAGCAATTTCGGGATCTGTGTTTAATCTACCCATGACACTCTGAATTTGTCCAGATTCCCCTATTTCTTGTGTCAGATCAGCGGTTGTTGGATCCGATGTCTCTACGCCCTGCGAGTCAGCAAATACATAAGGGCTCTCTAAAGCATCGAATTCCTTTTGCTTGGATAACAAATTGGCTGTGTTAGAGTTCCGACAAGTAACATCTTCCAAATCGGACATAAAAGCAGAGTAAACAGACTCGGCTGATTCCTTCTCATGATCCATTTTGTTTTTGAAACGGGATTGGTCAAGTGCCCAGGAAGCCATTTTAGGTTCGGAGTAGATTCTACCCATAGCGTTCTCGTCTTGATTTGGAGCTTCGTTTGCCAAAGCGAATTTCTGTTGATATAGCGTGTTAAGAAGAAGGGATATTTTACTGAGTTCCTGAATCATAACGTCGACATTCTCCAGCACGGAAGTTAGGGTACTTCGCTCGAAGCCGGAGAAGGATTCTTGGGAGTCCAGATCTTGGTTCAGCTGTTCGCGCAGGCTTCTCGTTCTCTCGAACTGCAATTCCTCCTGGATCTCAGAATGGTCCGCTTCGGTGTAGCATATCTGATCGCCTTCGTGCTCCCCTTCTGCCTTCAAATATGGATCTTCAGCCTCGCTGGGACTGGGAAGTCCTGCCAGTTGCTCGACGTCCAGTTCGTTGTTTTTCCATCCCCACGAAGCAGTGATGCCATCATCGCAATCCTCTGCTATCTCCTCTTTGTCGTGCAGATTTTTTAAAGCCGGCAAAACAAAAAGGTGACCTGACTGCTCCTGGTGGCTTTCGCTTTCCAAGTTATTTTGCTTCGGTTGGGCTTCTGCCGAAGACTGTGGGATGAAGGGTGAATCGGATCTATCCGACAAACAGCGCAGGATACACTTCCTTGTCCTGGTGGAGCGGATAACACAGCGAGTCAGACCGCTGAGCACCGAAACTCGAGACATTTTAAAATTTTGATCGAGTCCTAAAAGCGAGTGTTTCGAAAGGTGGCCGTTAATAAAGTGAGGTATTTGACCTATTTCCACTGACAGATTTACTGGCTGATATTCCGGTTGCTGTGATTGATGCAGGAAAACCCATCATCACCAGAAAACAAACTGGGTGAGAATTCGTTTTCTGGTGGAGGGGTTACTTTAGAGCTGTGTGCTCTGTTAGGATATCTGTTACACAGGATGTTTCATATATCCTAGTAGAGCTCACAGCTAAGAAATCCATCTTTTTAAAGCTCTTAGTCCTTGGAGCCTGAGCAGTTGCTCTTGGACAAGCGTTGGGCCTGTCGGACAGCCTCGCAAAGCGACCGATTAGCCAGGCATTTACATTCGGGTGGACGTTGTGGGATCATGGCCGGATCCTCCTGGACGCACTCGGAGAAGCTGGGAAACGGGCACTTGATCTTCTCGCAGTCGGAGGGCGACCGAAACCACTTGCAATTGGGCGGAATTCGGGAGGTTCGACAGCACGGCATTTGGACGCGAGTGCAGCCCTTGGACTTCTTGTTCAGGCACTTGAAGCGCTTCTTCTCGTGGTCCGCCAGGCAAGCGGATCGCGGACAGATGGGCAGATCCCGACGCAGAACCTCCGGCGGAATGGCGTCGCACCAGCAGCAAACCCGCTTGGGCACCATTCGCGGACAGCACTCCCACCAGGTTCGCTGGAAGTCGCGGCACTTGTCCGATGGCTTGTAGTAGAGCACGTCGAAGCGGACGTCCCCGCACGGCGGACAGCACTCCTCCGGATATTGCCACATGACCCCCAGCCGGGGCTTCTTCTCGCTGATTCCCTCCCACATGGAGACTAATGGCGGGTCGTTCTTACTCGGCTCCATGCAGGGATTCCCCGCGATGCGGGTGTTCACACAGCAGGGATATCGCGGATGCGAACAGTCCTCCTCGCTGCAAGGACGCACCGGCGGATCCGCGGAACTGCAGGGTCGCTTCCTGATCGTCTTGCAAATGGGCACCTGACTCTCCGGACATGGTGTTTCCGACTTGCAGCTCCTTTCCAGTTGAGCGCTGATGTGAATAATCCGAGCCGAAGTCTCGGGCGCCCAAATGCTGGGCATCAGCCGAATCCTCTTGGCCAAAAGGCTGAGCATGCCTGCCGAACTTAAATTTGAATTCCTTCTAGAAGAGGAAATGTTTGTCCAAAACGTATGCCAAAGTAGAAGGTCGAGAGTAAAATGGGGGTTCCTCAATCTGACGCTTCCTAAAGCATTTTCGGACGTCAATTGGGCCTAAAATCTGAAGAGATATTTGTAATTTACCATAATTTATAAAATAAACTCGAGTTTCAGGAACATTTTGTTAGGAAAGTTCCCGAATAATATTCTCATAGCTTGCTGTAGTCGAGTGCCCCGAGTATTGGGTACTCAGATTTAACGCCGGGTGGGAAACCAAATGGGGTGCACTGAGTAAGGTGCAGGGACTGATCAGGATGTCTGCATGGGTTAGGGTATCTGCATTGTCTTTGATCCCTGTATTGGGAAATGGATATAGCGCCAGATATGGAGGTGGATACGCCCAAACGGATGGTGGTCGTAAAAGTGGGCGTGGTGAAACTTGAAAAACGGCATTCGCTGCGTATTTATTACTTAATCATAAAAAATTGGGTGTGAAGCAGGATTTCACGGCTGTGGGCGTAATCTAAATTTTAATTCCAATATTCTCGCTTCTATGGTTCATAAGGTTACAACGATCTAAATTTATTTCTCTTTTGCCTTAACTTTAAGATTCCCCAATCAATAAGAATTAAATTATTTAACACAAAACACTCTTTAATGCGTCGATTTGTGAATAATCATGGATACTTGTTGCCAATCCCAGCCACAGCACAATCACAACTAAGCCACAACTCCGAGAACTTAATGTTGTGGTTGGGCTGCGGATGAGTTTGGCACCAAGATCAAAGAGTACTCCTCGTGTTCGGTCAGAAACAGTCCCGAAACAGTTTTTGATGATCGAGGGAGAGGAAATGTTGGTTAAAGGATTTCTTTGGTGCACTCGGGGCACTTTGGCCCTGGAACATTGTGGCGAATGAAGGGGAGTACCGTCCAGTCCCCAGGTGTTTCCAATCTTCCAGTCCCCTCGACTTATTGGGGAAAAAGGATTGATTTTTAGAGAAGCTCAGATATCGTGGTTCGTTTTTCGGCAGCAGACGATCTTTGGCCTTGGCACTCAGCTCATCCATGGCCTCCCGCTGGAATCTCTGGCCAATGCTCGAAATGCTCGGTTGCCACTTTCCTGCGTGCTTGGTTTGAAGGGGCACCTGGCCATCAGCGGTCATTGGCTTCAGATAGGCTGCAGTGGCTTCGGTTTTGGGTAAAGGATTCAACACCCGGTTGACGCAGTTGGACTCATTCCGCACCACCGACGGCTGAGTGCGGGAATAGCGAACTAGGAGCTTGGTCAGCCGCTCAGCACACATCGTGGCCAAAACCGATGTAGTCATCTTGGATCCTCTCCAGTTCTCTCTGGCCTTCTTGGCTTTCTGGTTTTCCTGCGTGTGAAGCGAGTTCTGTTCGGTAATGTCTCAATGGAAACGTTCGATTTGGAAGCCTGTTTTTCAATTTAAAAATGGGACACACCGAAAGAAACAAAACATTATATGGATGACTGCCGAGGCAGAGCTGCCTGGTTGCTAGAACTTTTTTCAGAAGAGTACATTCTTTTTTAAGGTTCTCAGAAACAATTTAAATACTCTTTATAAATTTATGGTTCTTTATTATCATTTTGAAATAATTTTATCTCCGCCACATCTAAACTAGTTATAGATTGAGTTATACTATTAAAGTAGGGGTAGGTGATAGTTATGGAAATCGGAAACCCAGTTTCTAGAGCCAAGCAATGATTGGCATCTTGCTTCCATTGCTAAGCGCTAGAAACTAGTTCCGATTTGCGTTATTCCGGATTCAATTATTTCCGGATGTCCCTATCTCGTTTTTTTTCCTCCCGAATAATTATACATTGGGGTAGCTTTTCCAAGCAGTTGCACTCCCTTTTCCGGAGCGGTCTGACCCAAGGTCTCTTCTCCGAAAACGATGGATACGGAGCTCGAAGCTTGGTGCACTGGGAGAGCTTTCTGGAACGGCGACAGTGTGGATTGCAGCGAGGTGGCTTGCAACATGGCGAAGACTTTTTGGGACACTTGCCACACGGATCGCGTTCCCAATCGACTTCTTCACATGGGGGTCCCAATTCTTTCAAGGGCAATCCGCAGGTCTTCAAACAGGGGTCCGTGTTGCGATACAGAACCTCGGGCGGTTTGATGCCGTCCAGGCAGCAGACCTTCTTCAAGCGCTGTTTCACGGGCGGACACTCCACCCAGGTGCGTTGGTAGCAGCGTGGATAGCAGGGATTGTAGTACATCGCATCGAAGCGCGGCAGCATGTCCTTGCAGAATGGCTGCTCCTCCGTCTCGCAAGGAGGCTCCCACATCGACCGGAAGGGCTTCTCCGGCTTCTCCTTTACCTTTTTGGGCCGCGTCATCGGGGTGCAGGGATTTTTGGCAATCGATCGCAGGACGCAGCACCTCGCCTCGTGCTTCTCCATCTTTTCCAGGAACTTCTCACGGGGCAGCTCGCGAGCCAGCACTTCCTCGGCGCTTTTACAATTGCCATCTGGAACGTAGAAGCACTTTGGGTCAGGCGGAGGGCACGGCAAGTCCGGAAAGGCGGGCACCTTGCAGGCGAAACCTCGGAAAGCCTGCCTGCAAATAGTGCGAAGTGCTGACCGCATCCTCAAATTTTGGGAGAATTTTGATTGGGTTTCCTGATTTTACAAAAGCTTATGAAACATTATTCGGGTTGTGACTGGGAAGGGTGGGAAACCTTGGTCATCTCCATCAAAATTTAACAACCGAAAAGATGGCGTTTCAAGTGACTTTTGCCCGAAATTATCGTTGACATAAGCAAAGGCCATCAATTTCCATTAGCAGAAAACTAAGTGGATGTCAAGCTGAAAACTCATGTGAACGATCTTCAGATAGTTTGAAGATATCGCTATTTCGACTCAGACACAATGGCCCACATTTAGAAGGGAAAGCGCATCTTAGATCTGTAGGGAGAGTATCCAATCAGGGGCTTAATGCAGCTCCTTCGCGATTTGTTCCACCGTTGGTAAGCGTTCAGTGCTTCGCATGCACTGGGAATCCCGTGACAAGAGCACTCGATGCCACAATACCTCGGGATCAAATGGCGACAGGCCTCCGAGAAACTGGGCATTGGGGCGGGTTTCTTGCAGCAATCGGAGGGGGAGGGAGGCAGCTTGCACTTGGGAGGCCTGCGGCTCTGCCTGCAACCTGGAGCCTTGAGAACTGCTTTGCAGAATAGATCCATTTGGAAGAGGTGCCTTTCGATGGCCGACAACGGCGGTTGCTGCGGGGGACGAACGCGCCGCTTCATGGGGGGATATTTCTCCGGATTGGGACAGCACACATCCTTGGGCCGGAGCCAAATGAGCGGGCATTCGGGCCAGGTTCGCTGGAACTTTCGGTGCTTGTCCGACGGCTTGTAGTGGAGTTCGTCGTGGCGGATCAGCTTGAGCGCGCAGTCGGGATCTGGCTTTCCCCGCAAGTAGATCTCCTGCAGGTACTTGGAGTACTGCCTCCTGTGCGAAGGGGATCTCTCGTAGCAGTTGTTCGGCAGGTCGTCGAGGGGGCATATTTCCGGGCTGCACTCGGTGGTCTCCTTGTCGCGCATCTTACAGCACTCCCCAGAACTCGCATCGTAGTTTCCCCAATTGTAACAGCGACTGCTGAGTCGCATCAGTCCTGGGCGGAGGCGAAGCTTTGAGGTGAGCATGGTGCCCGGGTTTCCTTGGATTGGAGAATTTAGAAAGGCGTTGGCCGAAAATTTTTAAAAATTTTAAATTTTTTTGGAGCTGCAAAAATTGACAATTTCGTCAAAGGATTCCCTGTTCGCAAAAAATTACCGTATAAATATCTTGTAATCCTATAGTTAAATTCTTATTTAATTTATTTAGTAAAAACCATTAACTAGTTGCAAGCTAAGTCTCTTTTAACCCAACCCATTAAAAGTCAAATAGTGTGGCTCCTAGTTTGCTTTATTCAAAACGGTTGGATGGCAATTGGCAACTGGTGAACGACCTGGGCAACTCTAGGACTTCCTCATGCGGTAGTAGTTCCACACCTCGCACATGGCCGGCTGGTTGATGCAGAAGCATGGGGGCGGGACCTCTGGCAGCGGGTCGCGATGGCACTCCGAGAAGCTGGGGTACTTCGTCCTGGGGCGAATGCAGCCGGCGTGGGGTCGATACGGCCCGCAGCGGATCTTTCTGACCTCCTTGCAGAACGGCAGCTTGAACCTGGGGCAGGTTGTCGGCGCTTTCTTCGGCCGGCACGACCCCAGCCCCAGGCTCTCGCTGCCGTCGGCGCAAACCTTCTCGAGCGGAGGCGTTCGGCGGGGTCGCCGCGGAAAGGTCACCGGCCTGCAGGTGCAGATCGCCTTGCGCTTCCGCTCCTCCACCTCGCACTCGCACCAGGTGCGCTGGTAGTGGCGGTTCAGCTTGTCCGAGGGCTTGTAGAGCGTGAGGTCCGACGGCGGGACGGCGCTGGCACAGGGACACAGACACCGTCTTTGGGCGTCGAGAAAGGCGGCCGCACTGAACTCGGCGTCGGAGCGGCACTTGAACTCCGTGCTCGGCATCGCCTTCCAGCAGAGGTCCTTCATCGGCCTTTTCAGCGGATCGTATCTATTTAGATCCGCCCAGGTGCTGGGCTTAGTCTCCAGTTCCCGCACCTGGTTGATCCTCAGTGGCAGTCCACTCCTCATGGCGGCTGGAGCTCGGGAAAGCGTCTTCTTCGTAAGCATCATGGTGATCTGGGTAAATTAATTGCTTCGGTATCGTTCACACTGAACAAATTTAGTCTTGGGTTAAAATATGATAAAAAAATTTAAGTCACTGCAAAAATTTCATCATGTGATTCGTTACGGAATATAAATTTAAGGGGTATTGCTCCCTTATTTTTACAGTTGGGGGTTGAAGTTGAATTTATGGCTAACTAAGATCGGTTGGAATGGGAATGTTTTTGTTTTATACCATGTAATACAATATTCTTCCATATTCTGCCAATTGATCATTGTGATCATTGCAAATTATAATTTTATAAAACATGGAATGTACCTAGCTTTTTACACAATAATAATACGTACACTATGAATTTGCAAAGGTTGAATTTTCTTGCTTACATATAATATGTCCATGGGATATACCATGTAATTGTTTTATTGACTTTCAAATTAAATTGCAATTTAACCGTTTAAGAAGTACGTCGGATTTACTGCTAAAGACAAAGTAACAAGATCATTTGAAACTTCAATGCACAACTATTTGAACAATTTATTTTGAACTATTGATTTGTGTTTGCCAAATCCAAATTTAAAAGTGAAAATGCGAACAAAGGGAATTTAAGTCGGCGATAATTTAACGGTTGACATTTCAGGCCAATTGATATTCGTCGTAGGCCATCCGATCGGCGGCAGCCTCGAGGTTGCGCTTCTTGTTCCTCGATTGGGTGGAAAGGAATTGGGAGATGAACTGGCTGGCGGGGATGACGATCCTCTGGAGTCGCCTCTTGGGATCGAGGCGGCGCTGGGAAACTGGGGGACTTGGGCGCTCCTGCTGACGATGCGAGTCCCTTGGGATATCCTGCGGTTCCTCTTCCTCGGCAACGGGTTCCCGCCAGGTTGCTTGATATTCACGTTCCTTCCAGCGCCCGGGAATGTACCTTGTGTCATCCAAGCGCTCGCCATCTTCGGGCTGCTCGGCAGTTTGCCTCCCCCAAGTCCGCTGGTAACCACGATCTTGCGTGCCACCCGGCTTGTAGAAGATGTCATCCAGGCGGACCTGCTTCATCCCACGGCTCTTTACCATGCTGCTGAACCCAAAAGAAGCCATCTTGCTGCTCACCAAAGCTTTCGACGAATTCATATTTGCTCAGCCTTAAATTTTGAAATTTTTCAACACCAACTAAGAATTTATAAGCGAAAAATGATTGTAGATCAGGGAACCGGAATAAAAAACGGTTTTTATTCCTAAAGGCTTAATACGAGAATGAACAAACTGGAAAACTCAGGTTGACGGGAACCGCCTAAGAAAAACTAAAAGGTCACTAGATTCTATTTATTGAAAATATATATTAGATAGTAGGCTTTGGCTTTCAATTTTATTAGGCGTTAGCTTATCGCGATATTTTACGAAGGCCAACGAACAATTTTTTCTCAAAAATTATTTTTGCCAAATATATTCAGAATCGTTACATATGAAACATTTCTGGTATATTAAATAATATCCGAGTATTTTATATTCATTACTGAGCTCCATTTGCAACTCTCAACAAAGAAAAATCTCCTAACAAGATCCATATTTGAAATCTATTTTTCAAACCCATTAAATGGAAACCATTGACTTGAAACTTATTGCAATGTTATATTTTCTAACGTCGGTAAGAAGTCGGTCTTAGATAAAGCTTCAAAATCGGTGCCCAGATAAACGCGAATAGTTCGACATGGACAGACACCTGGCCTTCCAACGCCACCAACGGTATACATGAATCGAATTATAATTATTGAGTCTTCAGTCTGAATTTTGTGACACTGTGGATGAAGCGTAGTTCCAGGTTGTCCTCCAATCCCCAAAGTCAGCACTTGTCGAAGTCCCAGCAATCGCACTCCTTGGAAGGCTTTGGATCGGTGGGCTTTCTCTTGCATTCCGAGTAACTGGGAAAGGGAGTTGGCACCTTCGAGCAGCTCTTCTTCTTCGCGGAGCGCTTGCAACTGGGTTCCGGCTTGCTGTTCGACTTGGTGCTGCACTTGGAGTCCGACTTGCCGCCCTTGGAACCCGCGCAGCTGGACAACCGGATGGCCAAGGGCACGAGGCTTCTGTGGAGGATCTTCCCGCATTGTTCCGGCAGCATTTTGAATTTCGGAGTTTGGGATCGAAAAAGGCGAATGGAGTTTATGGCTTGGGAAGTATTTGAAAATTGGAATTTTGAAGTGTAGACTGGGGTGAAGTACGGGCAGGAATGTGCCCAGTTGTTGAGTTCAACTCATCGGAGGAGCTACCGCTCCCGGCCGCCTACATTTCACCGCACTTGAGCACAGCTCCCTTGCCTCTGGCGATCCTCCTTCTGAGCTCCGCCCACATCTCGCAGGCCATGGGAGTTTGGAGGCACAGGCACTCAATGGGAGGGGCCTTGGTGAGCTCGTCCCTCTGGCACTCGGAGAAACTGGGGTAGGGAGCCGGCTTCTTCTTGCAGTCGGTCAGGCGACGCACTCTGTGGCAGCTGGGCGGTACGCGGCTGGGCTTGCAGCAGGGGAGCGTCCAGCGGGGACACGGACTGCCATCCTCCGGGGACTTGCACTCCATGGGATTGAGCATGGGCATCGAGGGCCGGGCGGTGGCCGAGGCTTCCTTTCGCTGGCGACGGCAGGGCTTGGGGCGCGGGTGCTTGTGGTGGATGCACACCTTCTTGGGCTTGATCACCAGCCGGGGGCACTCGTTCCAGGTCACCTGGTACTCGCGGGCCTCCTTGTTCGAGATGCGGTAGTGCTTGATGTCCAGGCGCACGTTCACATCGCACTTGGGCTCGTACTCGCAGCCGGGGATGTCCCACATCGACTTGAACTTCTTGGCCTTCTTCGCCTTGGGCTTCTCCTTTGCGGGAGCAGCCTTCTTCTTGGCCTTGCCCGCATCGCAGATGGTGCCCTTGAAGCGGGCGGGACCACAGCTCTTGGAAGCAGACGTCGCCTCTGTCTCGCACTCCTTCGGAGCCCCGCAGTTGTCGTCGGACTTGCTGCTGTAGTTGCGGCGCACCAGGTGCTGGCGGAGAACACTGGAACCGCCAGGATTCGTCATTTGGGGCCTCAGCTCCCTGGCCCAGTTGCCCTTCAGCTGGGTGCAGGCATTCATTATCGACTCCAGGCACGGCAAGCCTCTGTCTATGAGCGAACGACACTTCTGACGCAGCATTCGCAACATCTTGAACTTTTTCACCAAATTTTGTTTTTTTATGCCGAAATGAATCGAAAACAGTTTTAATAGGCCGAGGACTGAGTGTAGACTGACTGAGTCTATGGTCCAAAGTGCTGGAGTGGGCGGTCAAAGCCAACTTCATCTCAATTGAATACATATTTCTGTAAGATCCTCGAAATAGAAACAGATATCAGCCAATTTTAAGGAACAACGGTACTTAAGGAACTATCTACGGATCAATTGAAACTCCAGGGTTCTGGCTTTTGTTTGAATACAAAATAAAATGATATATGTATTTGATAATAATCCTTAAGAAATTTATGGAGCTTGTAGAAAAACCCTTAATTCTAGAAAGTCGAAATACAATTTCTCCTAAATAATAAATTTTTCCTTTTAATGGAATATAATGGCCACTCTTTCCCGTTTATTTATTTACTCTCTTCTGAAAAGTGGGATGGTTTTAGAGAATTTAAAAATATCGCAGCAAGCAGGCCTTGAACTGGACTTCAATAGGATGTAGTCAACCCGAATAAGTTTTGAGCTTAGTTCCTCTCGGCCTCTTCCAAAATTAACATCGGCTTTAACGAGCTGATTGTGATTTCCGTTCAAAATTTGAAGATCGGTAGTTTTCCGGGGTCGAAGGGATAATTTTTTTGGTTTCGGAGTTGCTGGCTTTGAAACGCGCTGTTATTGTTGTCTCGCACCACTTTTTCGTTTGATTCGTTCGCTTTTTGAGTCTATTTCGATCATGACTTTGTGGCGCAGTGTAGCGACGAGGACACGGAGCCATCTGGTGCCCCGTTTTGTAGGCGTCGTCAGCCAGCGGTTCTACGCCGAGGACCACAATCCGTCGCCCAAGTGCAGTGCAGCCGCGGATTCGGGGAAGGGCTGCGGAAAGTTCCACGGATGCGGCGATCCGCGGTACGAGAAGAAAGAGCCTCCGCCGCAGGAGGACACCTTCCAGTTCCACCACCTGGTCAAGATGCCGGCCGACTGCTGTGACGATCCCTGCCGGGAGCGCTACCCCCCCTATGACCAATGCTACTACGAGATCTCCGACAAGGCCAAGAGGAAGTACCAGGTCACCTGGGTGGAGTGCCCGCCCATCCAGATAAAGCCCAAGAAGATCTGCTGCTTCGAGGCGGCCAAGCATCCCCCAATAACGAGGAGGAAGCGCAAGGAGTTCGTGGCCGACGCCAAGTGCCCCCAGGAGGAGACGTGCCCCGTAGCCTCGGGACCCTGCCCCAAGATCACATTGCCCGGCTGCAAGGCCGTAAAAGACACCTCCTGCTACATCGTCCGAAGGAAGACGGACTGCACCAAGGTCAAGGCGCCGTACCCCTCCTTCTCGGAGTGCTCCCACGCCGCCATCCGGAAGCCCCGGGGCATCGAGTGCAACTGCCTGGCGGTTCCCAGTGCCTGCGACCTGCTCCGCGAGACCATGAAGAACGAAGGCAACCCTCGCAAGGGGAACTGCGGCGGCAGCAGAGGTTAATCGCACAGTGATTCGACTAAAACGATCTTTCGACACCGAGCCCCAGCACTCAGTACTCTGTTCTGTCATTTTCCGAAACCAATCCAATTTAATTTTCTCTCCTCATGTGTGAAATCCCGACTATAAACATACCGAAGACCAGTTGTAGTCTGTTTTCTTTTATTTCAGTAAAAATAAAATCAATACATATTTCATACAAACAACGAGCTATAATTTTGCTATAATTCTGTAATTCTTTCAAATAAGTTATTTCAGGTAAAAGTAAAATATTATATTACAATGTATAACAATGATACCTCCTAGTGTAAACCATTTTAAGCAGCAATATGCTCAAAACTTGTCCCAAGGGTCACCACAATTTACTGATAAGCTAAAGCAGGCAAGTCTTACGCCTTTTTGGTTTGCTCTCTGCAGAAAAATAAGTTTTGCTCCCTCTCCGAAAACCTGGCCCGTTGCTACTTAGCCATGTAAATTGAAAACGTTTGCCCAACCGGGGATGAGTATGCAAAGTGTCCCGGAGAGAGAGAGGGGAGCGCGGATCTGGCGGACAACTGCGTGCCATATTAAAGTCGCTTATAGCAAATTACCAATTCAGATATATACGGGTACACACAAATCAGTTATACCCGGCATCTATCAGCATATTCCCCAGGCTGTTGCTTTTGGCTTTTCCTCCTTTTTTTTTGTTTTATTTCGAATGCATGCAGGCCGTCACATTTATTCGAGTTCGAGTTTGATGTACGAGCCGAAATGCATGTGCATAATCAAAAGGGGAGCGGAAGGAGCCTGCTGCCGAAGACAATCGAAATGAGACAAAGCCCGGCTCCGAAGACGTCGAATCTTCCCCAGCTGCAGACATAATTGATGGATCGCTGACTGGCGACAGAAGAGTTCTGGCTGGATCCGAATGGGGGACTCGTGTTGTTCGCCTACCTCTGCCTAAATAATGATGTCGCATTATTTATGCCGCGGCTGATTTGCATACGCAGGCCAAGAACACAGCGATTGGATGGGGAGTGGGTGGTGTGGGGGATATCTAGAAAGCGTTTGCGTTGCCCCCGGGGCAATGTGTGCGCTTTCTTTAATAAATGTTTAATTTATAATTGATTTTCCCCCGCCCACCAGTCAACCAGTCCACCAGCCCACCGCCCAGCGATACGCCTTGGCTCGAAAGACCTCAAAAGTTTCTGAACCGCAAAAGGATTTGCCCGCGCACGAAAACACTTAATTAATTCGCATAGACAGACAGTCGGACGAACGGAAGGACGGATAGACATACGGACGGATGTGGCGGGGCAGGATTCGGCCCACCCATCTGGTCAGACGACTACACCCATGCCACCACACACACACACATGAAGAAATAATTAGAAATTAGAATGGAGAAAGCTTGCCAGCCAAGTTGACGATAACAACGCCCCACAAATGCCCGCCCACTCACTAAGTCGCCCCTTAACTTGCACACCCAAATCCCCCAACCCCTCACTCCACAACCGCCTTAACCCCCACAACCTACAACCCTGAGCAGCATATTTAAAATGTAGCCAAGTCGACTCGACACGAGTATGATTTAAACTATATACTTGGACCCTTTTAGCAGACCAAAGCCCAAGACAAGACAGCAGCAACCCGAATCGAAAATGCTGAAGTCCCTCTTGTTGTTGCTCAACCAGTTTCAATTTACCTATTATAGCTGGGGATGGAAATGGTCATTAAAAACTATCGACTAACTTTTAAAACAAAAATCATAAAAAAAGTTTTTCTTGATTGCTTGAAAAAAATATATATGTTTAATTATGTAATTATATTTAAGTTTGATTATTCAATTATAAAGTTGCATCAAATGGTAAATAAAACTATTCAAAACTAATTAAGCCTAATTTAAAAAATATAATTTTTCGTTTTAGTTTTCTAATTTGGCATTTTGTAGATAGACAACTCCTCGAATAAATTTTTTTATACCAAGCGTTTGATACCGATTTTAACTTCCACTGCTGTATTATAATCCTAAGCAGCTTTCTTAATCAATGTAAAATAGTTTCTCTCTCGATCTTAAGCAATCGCCCAAATTAGCATAATCGATAACGAAGTTCTGCCATCTCTACGGCAAAAGCAGGACCGCAGAGGACAGCGAAAAACAGGACGGAAGGGAGGGCTTAATTTGCTGCTAATATCCGTTTACGTCTTTAGTTGCAAGAAAATTACAATATTTCGTGTGGTATAGTTGGCACGCATACACTCGCCCACGACTTTGGGATATAGATACTCTTGTATCTAATTTAAATTTCACAATTTCGGCGCTCCAAGAAAAACGCCGAACTGGAAAATGAGCTCGGGCCCCGGCTAATTTTCTATAGCCGTCGCGCAAGGGTTGGAATCGAGGGGATTGGCAAGGAGTCCCGGGCTTTTCTGGCCGGATTAAAGCCCGGCAAGTGGACACAGACTTGGGCCCAGTGCCCGTGGACCGGGGGATCAGGATGCGAAGCTTGCGCCGGCGACTGCTGCTGCTGCTGCTGCTTAGCCAAATTATATTATGACTTGTTTAAAATTCAAATTTGAAAACACTAAAATCATGTTTTCGATGTCTGGCCACCCCGACTGCTCCCCAGCCCTTGGATAGTTTTCGGCAAGGGTTTAAGTAGCGCACGCGGCCAAAGGGGGAAGGAGTGGTTCGAGGTCCTGGTCACAGGGGGTGGCTGGGTGTCTCTGCTAAGGATTTGCCTCCGCCTTCAGCTGGCAACTTTTGCTGTCTGTCCTCGGCCCCGATCCTAACTCAAGGCAATGTCCTTTGCCGACTCTGTGTGTATTCGTATACTTATGGGGCTTGTGTGCGTGTTGCCAAAACATAGTTTCTAGTTGCCACATAAATTTTGCATGCTCTCGCTTATACGTGTGTGTGTGTGTGAGTGTCCTACGGCTCGGCCAACGAGAATTTGCTTTTAAACAATTTTAATGATTTCATTAGTCGTACAGCGAGCAATTTAATGAGGACATTTTGGGGCTATGAAATTGATTTTCTATTCGTTCGACCTGCCAGTTGCTATTGTGAAGACAAGACTGTGCTGTTGGCTGGTTGCTAAATAAATTTGACTAGAAATCGAGTATGTTATGTCCTTTGTGTATGGTTTAAAGCAGCAAGCATAAAGCTTATATTTATATAATAATAATTTAATATTCATAAATTTAAATACTTCTGAATGTTTTGTATATTCAGACTTCAATATTTACTTGCACAACTTATAAGACTTTCTAAAAATTCCAACCATTATTGCAAAGCTGGCTGCCATTTCAACCCACTATTTAAGTCTTAGTGTTTCATTTGGTCACTCAAATCCAAAAGGTATATTTTTTTCTTATAGATCAATTTTTAAAAATGTAAGTTTTTACCAATTGTTATTTAATATACAATTCATTTGATTGAAATATAGATCCAGGGATGTATTTTAAGTTGCAATCGTTGGAAAACCAACTATAATTCGTCTTTATCGTACTGCAATTAAACTTTTATTTATGTCAGTGGTGACTTGCACTTGTCAGATAAGTTTATACCCAGCCGACTTGCTCTTGGACTGGCTTACCTAAACTCATGAGCTAAGACGCCATTTTGTTCTGCCCGCAGACACTCACACACTGAGAGCTCAAGACATAATTAGATTGCATAATGTAAGTGTTGCCTCGTCCAGCCTGCATGAGTCCTAAGTCCTGGCAATTTCAATAAAATTTGTGTCGACCGAGGAGTGGGATCGAAAGGAGAAGAGCTTAGCCCAAAAAGCAGTCAAATGTCTCAGACACAAGTCTCCTTACACACACAAGCACACCACTTGTGGGGCTCACAGGACCTTAACCCCTGAGGCTGTGCATGTGTGTGCGTGTGTGTGTGGGTTGTGGGCAAGGCAATGGCCTTTCAAAATTTTCGAATTTACGTAAATTTAACTTTCTTGAAATACACTTAACTGTAAAATTAATTATAAAAGGCAATTGTGCATGTGTGTATGTGAGAGTCTGGCAGTCTTGTGAGTGTGTGTGTTTATGTGGGGGTGCTTATAAAGTGCCCCGCCCCCACGCCCACTTAAGTTTGTCTTAGTCTTTGGCCGAAAAGGTGTTGGCATGGAATTTGCATAACCAACTAAACGTCAATGTCTTCAGAGAGAGAAAGAGAGAGCAAAAGAGAGAGCAAGCTAGCCAGCCATATGTGTGTGTGTGTGTGTATGAGCATGTACAGTTGCGCCCATCGCCATTTGCATACCCACACTCCCCCACATACGCATAGAAAACTGTTCCTTGTGTGCGAAAACACACTAATTAAATGTTGAAGGCAGTTTATATTGAGATGCCGCCCAACCACCCACTTGCATGGCCAGCGGGCAGACAAAGGCCAAAAGCAGGTGATGGTGTATGTGTGTGTGTGTGTGCGAGTGGGCGGGTGCATTATATAACCCCCAATACAACCGAACCCGGCCCTCTTACCCACCAAACACCTGCATGTGTGTCGTAAGAAAATCTATAGCCTACGGTGCTCAAGCCCAAACCGCAAATTCAAATGTCTTCATTTTGCACATCAAACCAACTGCAGCAGCGCTCCCCCTCACACACAGATACACACACACACTCACCGGGCGAAGGAGCAGCGCTTTACATATGTATGTTTGCTGAGGATTTCTAATTACATTCGGCATCGTTCGGACTCGTCTTCAAAATGTGTAGCTGGGGGGCACATTAGGAAAAGGGCGGCGGGCCTTATGTAAAGCATTTCAATGCCGATAAATTATAATGGCTCGTGTAAATTTGAGATGAAGTGGCGAGATGAATAGATGCCCTTAAAGGGAGTGGTCAATCTGGGGGGTTTTAACTTTATTAACCATAGGTAAATATCCCAACAAAGCAAATACATACGAGTCCTTTAATGAAATACTCCTGGCTCAATTTTGAATGACTAAAATCTACGGTTTTGAAATCTTATATTTTTCTGTTTAAAAGTATGCTACGATATGTTTCCACTTATAAATTGATAAATTTGGAATCCTGCCACTTACAGACTTACCTATTCAACAATAAGCTTTGTGACTTTTTCGAAACTGAAATTTCACTTTGCATTATTGTTAGCCCAAGGACTAATTGCACATTAAGCAAGGCAATTATCCTACTGACAGTCTGGCTAATGTCACGATACCGAGAAGTAACAAACTAGCGTAGGCTCTCCCAC